AGGAAACACCAAAGGAATTAGTAACAAGAAGATCATCAGTAAAATGTCAAAACTTCTTCCAAAATCAGGAAGGCAACTCCCAGACAAGAGGATAATTAAACACAGACTCTCCCTGCTTTATTAAGGCACCAACCTTGTAGCGGGAAGTCCGAGATCTAGTCTCCAGTCTGCCAAAGGCTTCCCTTGATTCCCAGCTCTCCTGTCTGCAGCTGCAGGGCCAGGACATTTATATTGTGTTTGCCTCAAAGAGAGGTTGGAGCGCCAAGTTCAAAAATATCTGTAAATCTTTTGGAAAGCAGTGGTGAGAAAAAGGCGTAAGTGCAATGTATTACCTGCTCACTGAGATCCTCTCCGGTATTAGATAGCTTTGAAGCTGTCCAGGAGAATCAGACAGGTTATACTATGGAAGCACTCTAGAGAAAGCCTCTATGTTTATGTAACAGTATCAAATATAAACCCGTTATTATTAGCAGATTTAGTTGAGATAATGAAGTTGAAAATGCAGTGTGGAATGGAGGCATGGTCAATGCCCACTTCAACAGAGAAACACAGAACCGGTTAAGTATTCCTTCCCCCTGGACTGATATATGACCCGCAGCAGTATATGGTGAAGGGCAAAATGCTGAGTGGGTCTTTGGTTTAATGTATTTCAAGTTTAAAGATACAGGTTTTGTACATTTAGAATTTTTATATGCAGGTAATGATAATAATTCCCCATCGCATTCAGTAGCATAAAGAATTTGCTGAAGAGGACTCAAGCAGGCAGTACATGCTCTCAGCTCGTCTCCAGTGGGGCTGAGCCAACCTTCTGCCTGGCGATGGTTGGGCATTGCATGGAGAGGCAGACCGGTACCTTATTTCAGGTCTGCCTGGCCTGTTCCTCTTTACAGTCAGTGACTGCCTATGTGACATGATGAACTTTGAATTCTTTCAGTGATTTCAAACTCTGTACATACCTATTTCAGATGGTAATCTCTGCTTTGTTTCCAGAGCCACATTTGTGCCTTTGTGCTGGCTCTGCAGCCTTCATGTGAAATTAAAACAAGTAGGCAAGGTCAGGAGAAAGCCCCCCTATTTCTGGGGGCTATACATTCCACCTGGAAGATCCTCCGTTCAGATGGAAGCACTTTTGGACAGAGGCAGCCAAACCACGAGGGCCTGCTGCATCAGATGAGCTGGCAACTCAAACAGCAATTGTTGGGGCTGAGGCTGGACAGGGCTGATGAAGAAACTGCATGATAGACCTGACAAGAAGGTTACAAAAGGCAATGTCTTACGAGCCATTTCCCACCAGACTTTTCTAGAGCAGGACAGTGGATTCTATATAGAGGCTTCTGGTGTACTCATAGGGGAACTGAAGGTAACAAGGGGACAAAATTCTATTTAAAGTGTCTACGCAGGGGCTAGGCCTCAAGCACCTGCTGCTCTCTGAATGATCTGTCACTTCTCCTGAGATGTCTGAACAAAGTGTGAGGTTTAGAACTCATTTGCAAATTCTGTATATTTTTGCTTTAGTTATGTTATACTCCTATGGAGGCAAGTTGTGACTCACAGGTGACTTGTAAACTATAAGGATGGGCTTCTGAGAAGAGTCAGAAAAAAACCCCAAATGTTGAAGAGAAAGAAATGAAAGCAAATTTGTCCTGTGCAGGGTGCAACAGCACCATGGTCCCAGGGGAGAAAGCTGCTTTTTTACCTCTGTCAATCCTCCCAGAAAGGAAAGGTCTCCTGTATTTAAGGCCATCATTTTGATGGACCCTGCTCTATAAAACACTTAGTGGTTTGGGGGCTGGACACTACAGGAGGTCCCCTCTTCACCTGAAATCAGTCCATGTTAAAAAAATGCTATGGTGGTGGTACATGTATGCTTTGTGAAAATATAAACCTCAAACTGATGTGCACAGCAATGTGGCTGGAGGGAATGGACAGATGGTCAGACGGACAATGGCCAAAATGAAGTAAATTTTACCTTTTTTTTTTTTCTGTATTTCTTCTTTTTATTCATCAATCTGGAAAATTGATTACATTCTTTATCTAAAATTATTTTGTTCACAGGCAAACCAAAAAATATATATGTTACAGAACACAATTTCAATACATATTTCTGAAACTCCCCTGCCTCCTTTATTCCTAAACACTGTAAACATATCCTGGTATGTTTATATGCAACGATAGCAACCTGACATCAGTGCTTAAAAATAAACCAAATAGGAATGGCAGTGTATGTGTGTGCAATAGACATACCAATCTATAGTAGGGGCTGAAGAGGTGATATTAGGGGACTACTGTCCATTATATTTGTTTGGTTTTAACCCAAATTGTTAAAGCATGAGGTGCAGAGGGTTAGGCAAAGTTTAGTTCAGATTCTTTTTTTTTTAAATAAATGTAACAGTAATCATCGCTGAAGCGACTAGACACAGTCCCACGTCACTTTCTAGATGAAATGGCCACTGCTCTTTTCCAAAGGTAAGCACACCTCTAGCTATTGCCATTTTGAGCACATCCAGTCAGATCCCAAAAGCATCACCTACCTAATGATATCTGTTCAAGTATGGGCCCCTCGCCCTTTGCCATCCCTCTCTCAGAACACAAGTTTCTGTTCTGTTGAGAGCTGTGACTAAATTGTAACAGATTCACAGACGGACAGGAGCAGTACGCATCCCCTGGGCCTTTGAAAAGCAGATGGCATAAAGGTATCATCCTGAAGGCAACGGATATCTACAGTAGCTATAGGGGAAATGTGCCTATATGCATAAAGGAAGAGGCAAGAGTAAGTAAAAATGTCAATGGCTTTTTAGTTTGTTGTCAGCATAGCGGTGGATCTCTGTCTCCCGTTCTCTCTTAAATTCTCTTGCATGACAAAAGAAAGACGTCAGGTTTACTGCTGCATTTTCCCTTCCATGATAAAGAACTCAGAATTTTTAACATGTGGTTTTATACAGTTCTTTATGGCTTCTCAATTTAGGCACCTGTATCAAATGAATTAAGACAGAATGTAATGGTTTCTTTGATGCAGTGTTGTACAACACTAAGCGCCAAGCTTTATAGTAAAAGGAAAACAGATGCATTGTTCACAGAAAAAGGCTACATTTGCTTTCAGTAGCTAGGTAAAGCAGAGACTGCAGGAGGTGGCATACAGCAAGCCACGCAGAATAAAGGCACAAAGTTTATTTTGCTTACAAACCCGAACATCAGGTGATTTCTAGTCATATACCAAAGGAGATAGGAGCAGAGTGGGCAACAATGGGAGTTTTTGTAGATTTTAAAACAGCATGAGTCAAATACTTAAAAATCAGCGTTTCAGCTGCTGGGAAGTTGCATACATGGCAGTAGGCACTAGGAAATTTGCCTGTCCATGAGTTCAGTAGTAAAACCAAGCTCCTGGTACACACGAAGGTTTGAGGAGATAAAAGCTTGCAGCCCACGGTTCAGAGGAAGTACTATTGTGATAAACTATTAATTATGTATGAATACAGCACTGATGGTACTGCATGCATTTTGAAACACAGCAGCTCCCCAGAGAAGTGTCATCTAACGGTTTTTATATCCCTCCAAAGACAGATGTCTCCTTGGCACCCAGAAAGGAATATATAATCCAGGGGGCTGCTTCTCTGAGTAAATTCCCTTCCTGAGCCCTCAAGAGGGCCCCTGCTCAGGGCCATACACCTCCTACAGCAGAATAGCGAAGGAGTACTTCTGATACCACCAAAGGCACTTACTGTGTGGCCTGGCAGTAGAGAAGGCTGGAAAAGACCAAATGTGCAGGTCCACATATTTTTCAATACCAACAAATGACCCTACAACAACTTTAGCAGGGTATCTCCAAATAAAACAAGAAACCATCTACAGGGCAACCGTGACAGACAAATTGGGATTGTAACAGAAAAACCCATGATGACAAGATAGAAGGAGTTTTCACTACATTATTTCATATAGGAGTAAGCAAATCACACTTTATTGGCAGGTCACTGTTCAATTAACCTTTACAAATGGCTGCATTTAATAGATTCATTTTGTTTACATAAATGTTAACATAAGGCAGATTAATACATTGTCTGAATTAAGAGGGCTAAACTGCTCCAGCTTAAAGTAAGTATTTGGTAAATCACTGGTGCAGCAATACATGCAGTTATTAAATGCCCTAGAGTCAAACCAAAAGCCAGATTAAAAATTTACCAATAGAAAGATCGCCTGTGAATTTCAAATTACATTAGGTAATATTAATGATTTCAGTGACTAAATAAAAGAAATGACCCCAAAAGTTTTATGCTATTTTAACCCACTTGTCTCTAACTTTGATAGCATTTACATTTATATCTAACTTCCTTTTAATGCTGAACTACCTAAGTAATCATTTTAGCAGCAGGTAAATGTCTAAAAATGCAGCACTAACTTCTAGTGGGGGTGTGAAATCCTTCTCAAAATAATTCAGATATACCTTAATTTCCGCTGTGCAATAAGGCAACAGAACTCATGTCCCCAGTGAAACTGTCTTCAAGAAAATATAAACTGATCTATACCTGCTGTGTATTCACAATCAACAAAACCCCATTTGGAAGCTAGGAAAAACAAATGAGGCTTATAGCCCCCTTTCTCTATTATTTCTCACCAATATTTTAATTTTCAGTTGAATCTTGGGAGTTTGGGGTGCAAAAGTACCGTATTAATGACAAGACAGAGGCAGGCAGTATTGGAAACCTCCCAGTCATAGCTGTGTTCGCAGCACAGCCAACTCAATTTTATATATGCAGAAGTATTTGTGGTCTGAACACAAATACTTCAAGGAACTTTTAGGGAAAGCTGCCCATGCCGGTAACCACACCCCAAATTATCTCTAGGTAAACACACAGACTTGTACATTATACAGGAAGACCAGGTGCTCTAGTACAGCCCTAATAAAGGTGGGAATAAACTAGTACAGAGAAGAGTGCTCCCAGAAGTGCGTTTCCCCGGTATGGAAAGAATAGGCTTTGAGCATCAATTCACTTAACATAACTCACTCATCAGTGGTAGCTCCTCCATCGCAATGATCTTAGCTGGATTCAGGTGACCTTGAACTGAAGCTTCCATTTCTCCTATCATTTCATCAAGCCAGTCTCCCTTCTCGTGCCAAAATCCTGGAAACAGAAACTCTGTCACTCTCATGAGTGAATCTGTGCTTAACAAAGAATAATGAAAACTACGCTCTGGGAAACGTAAACAAACGATGCATCACTTTCTCTCCCAGGTGCCAGTCTTTGATTACTCAATTCCAAGCGTCCTCGTTATTACTTGTCAAAAAGCACCAAAAACGTTTGGCTGTCAAGGTACGGAACAGTTCTAAAATGCCAAATTATTTGTTTGTTTGATTCATTGTTGACTATGGCCTGCAACGGCCAGGTCTTCCTCTGCGGATAGGCAAAAAATTCGATGTAAGCTTTCCATGAAGCACAGCGCATTGCTCAAAGAGGGCAATTTCGCTTAACGTACAGCCCAAACAATGCTTCCTCCCTACACGCCTACTAACAGCAGAACTTTGCATGCTTTATGGCCAAAAGCAGCTTGAACCTACAGCAGTAAGCATCTAAACCCATTCAGGTGGAGCTATATATTTTTACTGAATGATCGCCACTGTCTAAAACGACAAGGGAATCGTTTGCCGTGCAAGTCAGTCCTACAGGATAAGAAAGCCCGTGGCTAATTAGAGGGTTAAAGATGGGAAACTCCTTGGGATTGCCTAAGCATATCACGGCCTGGCTACAGACATCCGTTACTATAACGCGACCCTCTTTGTCAAAGGCCACAGCCGTAGCATATATTCTGGAGGGGAAAACGAGGTTCAGACCGAAGCTATCCACCTGACCAACGAGATCCATCTCTGCACTGAATATCTTCACTCGGGTGCTGCCGCTGTTCAGCCCCTGAGCTTTCAGGTGCTCTATGACCGCGATAGCACCCGAGGTCTGGCAGACAGCAACCCCTCTTGGGCTGACGAGCTGAGACCGGATCATCCCACACTTCTTTAATCTCCCCATCTTGAAGTCGGCCGTCAAGCGGTAGAGAGCACCCGCCTCCGAGTCCGTCAGGATTACTTCGCCCTCGGGGGTGGCATCCAAGCCCCAGGGCAAACGGAAGCCTTCCCGGACAGCCAGGACCCCCCTTCCCTCAAAATCAAAGGCCTTCACGGAGCGGTCCCCGCCGTCGGTGACCACCACGTGCCCGTCCGACGTGACCGTCACGTCAAGCGGGTACTTGATGTCGTTGCCGGCGTCCCCCCGTTCCCCGAACCGCCACAGGCATCCCCCGCTCGGCCCGAAGACGTGGATCCTCTTCTTGCCGTCGTGTGCCACCGCCAGACGCCCCGACCTCCGGCAGGCCGCCACCCCGGTGGGGTTCACCAACGACCCCCAGCCCCCCAGGGACAGCCGGAGCCCCAGGCCCGCGGCGAGCGGCCCTTCGGCCCCTCCGCTCCTCCCCAAGGCCGAGGGGACGCCGCCACCGCCGGCGGCTGGGCCCAGCACCTCCAGCAGCTGCAGCAGCGGCAGGCAGTCGCTGGTCTCGGCGGCGCGGCAGGCCCGCCGGCAGAAAGGACACTCCAGCCCCCGGCTCCCCGAACCGCTCAGGGCCCCAACGCAAGCCTGGCAGAGGACGTGACCGCAGGGCAGGTTCCGAGGCCGCCGCTGCCCTCCGGGCCCGTACCGTTCGAAGCACACCCGGCACTCTAAAAGGCTCAGCTCCGCCTCGTTCTCCGCCGCCATTCCCCGTCGCGCTGAGGCGGGCTGAGGCGAACCGGGGGCGGAGCGGTGCTGCCGGGCGGGCGGGGGCTGGCG